GCTGTGGCCCATAGACGTCTACATTTATCCTCGATTGACAATCAAAACGCAGATGCGTTGTCAAACCTGTGAGGTCTAAGATGAAATGCCTCTGTTCCCAATAAAAAATAATCTCCGGATCTCTACACTCACCATACGAAACACAGCAGTACCATTAGTCTGCTATTTTACGCTGGTATTCCGTGAGAGCGTGGTTCTTCCCCGGTCGAGCTGACCCATTATAGCTACATCCATAATATAGCTGCAGCGTGGTTCTACCACGTACCACATATCATGAGTTGGACCATGTGTTCGTTTGTGACAAACGCTATCATCGCCTCATGCTATAAAAATGCTTGCACATTGAAATGAAACATTAGTCACGCGATCGACATTGTAAAATAAAAATTTACTTTTAATTTACTTATTATATAATATTAAGTGATTTTAGGCAATGCTTTATGATAGCTTTCTTATTCGAAAAGCTTTATTTTATTAAAGTCTAATTACTTTAATTTTATATATTATTAGATATTATTTAAGACACACACCTTGTTACTAACATAGGAAAAGTAGGATTTTTTATCTCATTGGATTAATGAATTGTTATAAAGATTAGTTTTGTATGCAAATATAGAATGAAATCAAAATAGTTTGTTTACTTAAAATAAATCACTCTAATAAATAAACTAAACTTATTAGCTGTGAAAATAAGTAATTAGTTTAATGTTAAATAATTGCTAAACATCAATTAACATGTTTATTGAACTATTAGTTGTAAACAGGTTATGTTTTGAATTTTGAATCAATGCTTATTAGATGTAGAAGATATGATTTAAAATAAATATAACAAATTATTAATTAAATAATCTATTTGCAGATCATAAGTAGTAATTCGTAATTGAATAATTCAACATTTAGTTTCATGGTCAATAAAACAATAGTTTACATACCTAGAATAAAAGGTAAAACACAAATATGGAACATTGTACGAATTTCCATAATATAATTATTACCAAAGTTTCACAAATAAACATTTAAAACGTGGTACACAATTTTATGCGTGGTAAAGCCATGCTGTAAATATTAGTAGTATAGTTGTAGCACGAATCGGTCGGCTCGACCGGGGAAGGACCACGCTCTCACAGAATACCAGCGTAAAATAGTAGCTTAATGCTGCTGTGTTTCGTATGGTGAGTGTAGAGAACCGGAGACCCTTTTTACTGGAAACGAGGCATTCCATCTTAGTCCTCACGGGTGACAACGCATCTGCATTTTGATTCGTGATCGAGGATAGATGTAGATGTTTATGGGTCACAGCAACCACTTACCATCAGGTGGACTGTGTGCTCGTTTGTCAGCCCATCCTATAAAAAAATCAAATTTTTTGAAAACTTGTTATACGCCTGATTTTATAATGAATTCTATTGTAACAGTCAATTTTGAAATGTCTTTATAAAAGGAAAACTGATTAAAAAAAATAAAACGTACCTTAAAACTAAAGAGAATAAAATAATTTTATAAAAGCTTCTCCAGCCGGCGCTATGACATAGTATGTCAAAGCATTTAAGGTCCCACTTCAAGAGCTTTTATTGTGGAAGTTATTTTATTCTTTTTGGTTTTATATGTTAATGTTTACTTTGTAAGTATTAGTTATTTTTAAAAAACCGCTTGTCAAGCGGGGCAATGGCAAATATTCTCTCCATGAGGCAAACTCCCTATGAGTCAATCTGAACATAGGCCTCCAGCCTCCGTAGACTATGTTCAGCAGTGGACTTTAATAGGCTATAACTAGGTATTCTTTTACCCCTTTAGCTGGACTAAGAAACATCACAAGTTCAAGGTGGGAACTGGAATATCGTCTAAACATTTACATCAAATACTTCATCCTTTATTTTTCCACCCTTTTTCACTCCAATTTCATATGGTACAACCCGTGAAGATATATATATATATATAGCCCATTTAATTAAAATTAATAATTTAATAATCATTTAAATCAGTGCAGCCATTTCCGAAAAATTGGTGGACACACTTAAAGAGGATGGGAAGGGTACACGTAGAGGGGGTATTGGCCATAGTTGCTACGCTTATCAGGCAGTTTGGTAACTCTATTTAATTAAAATAAATATTAAAATAAATCAGTGCAGCCATTTCCGAAAAATTGGTGAACACACTTAAAGGGGATAGGGAGGGTACACGTAGAGGAGGTATTGGCCATAGTTGCTACGCTTATCAGGCAGTTTGGTAAACGCAGTTTTTTATTGTTTTTCAATAAGTGTTATTTACAATCTGTAGTAAAAAAATTCCGTAATTGCTCATCACCTGTTTCAGTTTCCCTCTGCTCTCCAAGCACACGGCATGATCAGGTAGTGGAATCTCTTACGACGCATCTTCATTGCAATTAAACGCTCTCATGAAATGTTCTCAATACACCATTTATACTCGCACTTGATCGTCGTAATTTCTACGTTCGTAGAAAAATGTACCTATCACGTTTTTGTTTAAATACAATAACAAAGCTCACTCCTAATCCTAAGTAACTTTTTCTTATTACTTTACTGTTCATAATACGTTATCTTCAAGAAAAAGACGTACCTAGTCTTAATTATTTCAATTGAAATACTTTTATAAAAGCTACCGAAACGTTCAATAGAAATTCTTTACATACCTAAGAAATGACGAATTGATTTAAATGAAATGAAAAACAATCTCATTCGTACCTTTTTAAATAAAATATGTATTCTTAATACTTTTTTTTAAATCAATAACTTCAATTAAAATCTTCCATATGGCTGAACCCATCACAATCGATGAAACTTTAGGAACAGATAGAGTACAATAACGCAATAAACGTAACTTAGAGCAACGCTACAGCTATATTATAGCTGTAGCACGAATGAGTCGGCTCGACCGGGGAAGGACCACGCTCTCACGGAATACCAGCGTAAAATAGCAGCCTAATACAGCTATGTTTCTCACGGATGTTTCTCGCCCTTTTTTACTGGAAACGACTCATTCCATATTAGTCCTAAGGGGGGAAACAACGCGTCTGCATTTTGAATCTTAATCGAGGATAGATGTAGATGTCTATGGGCCACAGCATCCACTTACCACCAGGTTGACTGTGTAGTAGTTTATCACCCTTATTCCATAAAAAAATGAAGTCGTGAGTCTTTGTTTCGAATGCAAACTGAAGTCAATTTTGACTGATAACAACTTGTGACTTGGCTTAACCATAGTGCCAAGCCTTGCCACAACACCATGTTGCAGCATTAGGTTATTTTTTTTTTAAAGAATATTAACAATGCTATAAACATTACTAATAGTTCCCTTAACCACTCGTGGTAAGCTTAAATTGCTTGTGTTACGAGTGGTTCACGCCAGTAGTCGAATGGCGGATTCGAACCCACGACCTTTTTGAGTTCGCGGTCCGTGCCCTGCCATTAGGCTGTCGCTTTTATACTAAATTAAGATGAGTTTGCGTAGAAATTGCATTACTTAAGTCCTCACTCTCTATTACTTCATCGGACCATACGCTCAGCTAGTCCCCAACATTATGCTGTCTACTTACCACGTATTCCATCGAGATATGTACTACGCACAATTGTACGCAAGTACAATTTAGTTCAATGCCGTATTCGAACCAAACGGTTTGCTACGTCGTTCATAATGCGTACAGCAAAAAAGTGGAGTAATTTGCAAGCATCTCTTTTTACATCCGAACATAATGTAGGTGTCTTTAAAGCACGACACGAGTGAATAGGCGCTTGTTAAGCTGAGCCAGTGCGCTTATTATCCTTATATTGCTTTATAAAAGGGTTTGCTAAGTTGCCACGTTTAGCATACAGGTTGAAAACAAAGTTTCTTATAGTTCATAAAAGATAGCTTGATCTCTGCGACAGCTGTCAGTAAAATCACGTCTATGAAGTCCAGAATTTCTTAGTAGTACAGACATGCCGACCTAATTAGTGCATGCCCATAAAGTATGACATTGACAGGTACTGTCTGTACTACTAAGAAATTCAGGACTTCATAGACGTGATTTTACTGACAGTTGTCGCAGAGATCAAGCTATCTTTTATGAACCACAATATTTTGAGTTTTTAATAGGAAGATTTGCTCCCCATCTTCTATTTCCTATCCCTCTGTCGCCTTTTATAACACCCTCGGAGTCCACTACCCTATCATATTCCAAAATTTACATAAAGTTACTAATAATATATATTAATAAATAATTTTGGAAAAATATTTAAGGAAAAATGATACTCGTACTTTCCTGCGTTCAGTATATGGTTGTTAAATAGGCAAAAAAAAAAGATTAAAAAAAAATAAGGAATGAGCTTATAACTTTCCAACTGTATTGAAAGATGATTTTATACGTGGTAGAGCTGCAGTTATAATATGGTTGTAGCACGAATGGGTCGACTCGATCGGGGAAAGACCCCGATCTCACGGAATACCAACGTAAAATAGTAGCCAAATACTGCTGTGTTTCGTATGGTGAGTGTAGAGATCCGGAGACCATTTTTTACTGGAAACAAAGCATCCTATCTTAGTTCTCAGGGGTGATAACGCATCTGCGTTTTGATTCTTAATCGAGGTTAAATGTAGAAGTTTGTGGGCCACAGCATCCACTTACCATCAGGTGCACTTTGTGCTCGCTTGTCGCCCTTATTCTAAAAAAATGTTGCATAAAAAGTTTGTACGTGCCTAAGAATTCTTAATTTGCGTAAGTAGGTCAAAGGATACGCTGCAGTAATGGTTAGTCAGCGGCTCATTAGATGACGACCCGGAACCCACCGATAGCATATCGACCACAAACACTACTAATTATTTGTAAACACTTCACAGGGCGGAGGGCGTCTTTAGGAAATTTTCAAAGAGTGTGGACCTGACCTGATATCAGCTACCCCCTCCACCTCACCGGCCCGTTACACGTATATAAATTGCTAACGTCCTATATTCAACACATTCCTTTTGGTTCTCTCGTTCGATCGACTACTCCAAACACGCTAAAAATGGCCAAATTCATTGTTCTCCTCGTCGCCACCATCGCTCTGGTAAGTTGTGCTCTTCGTTTTCAATTAATTATCAATCGTCAAATATATAAAAGTTATTAAACGTAGATGAGAGAGATTCTAAATATTTCTCAGTTAAAATTTTGAATTAAAAATCGAAATTATAATTTTTATATTTTTTTCCGCAATAGACGCAAGCGCGTTTGGTGCGTCGCGATGCTGAAGTCTCCACGCCTCTGCAAGACCTGCAAAAACACGCCGAAGAGTTCCAAAAAGTATTCGCCGATTCGTTACAAAGCATATCCACCTCCAAAAACACACAGGATGTTCAAAAGGCGTTCAAAGATGGTTCAGACTCGTTGCTTCAACAGCTGTCAGCTTTGACCGCCAGTCTGCAAAGCGCTGTAAGTATTATTTATATTTTTTTAGGCATGATCTCTTAACATATTTAAGGGGGCATAGTCTATTAATCATTAACAGACTTCAAAAAGGACAAGGATCTCAATTCGGCTGTATTTTTTTACGTGTGCTATCTCAGAACTTTGTTCTAGGTGAACCGATTATGATAATTCTTTTTGTTTGAAAGCTGGTGCTTCTCATGTGGTCTCATATAAATGTGATCATGATCTGATCAGTAGTTTTTTAGTTATCTTTGATAATACGTATTTAATTAACGTCGACTACATTGATGATGTTCAAATTTTATTTATATTGAAATTACTTGTACAAAATTTGTAATTTTAGCCTTATTGTTTATCAGCCCGTAAAAATCTACTGCTTGAAAGATGTTTCCCGTTGTAGGAAGGATTTGCCATTATCATTTGAAATAGTGTAGTAAGGGTTATTATGCTATTAAAGAGTACATAATTGATAATAACCCCTGGGAATGAGATGATCGCTAACATGCTTTTTCTAACTGTTTTCATACTAATTGTATAAAATATTACATTGTAAATTATGCTTTTCAAATAAAGTTCCGCTGGGATTTTGTTGTTTCTTCCCAGGACAGAATTTTTTTCCGAGCCAGTGGTATGACTGTCATTTCAATAAGTACCAATATTGAATAAAAATGATTCTAATTTATTCATTACGCTTGGTAGACGAAATAACGACCGCAACCACCAGATTTGCGACATTGATTATGTATGTGTTATAGCTACCATCATCTGTCAAAAGCTGTAAGATCCATAAAACTGGGTAAAAGTTAAGAGAGTAATATTTTTAACGATTTAAATTTTGCCAGTATTCAACAAAGGTCATAGGTTAGAAGTTTTTTAGATTAACGGAACCAACATTATGTAACTTTGAATCTGTTATCTTTATCAAAATGCTACAAGTGTTATCGAACCGCTGTCTGTGGTCAAGGCGAACTTAAGTCACACAATGTTGCAAATTTTTCTCTAAACTATATATTTTATATTACCATCATATTGACCACACTCGTGAAACAGTTTTAAAAATTTATAATATCTCAAAATATTCTCTTTAATTTAAATGATACTTAGGACTTCTTTTCGTGGTATATAGTGGGTCTACGGATCTCTACACTCACCATACGAAACATAGCAGTATTAAGCTGCTATTTTACGCTGGTATTCTGCGAGAGCGTAGTTCGTGGGGATTTAAACCCGCGACCGCCAGCACTGCAATTCATTGTGATGTGATGATTACAGCCAGCTCCAACTATTAATCTATGTTCCGCAGCAGACCAACAGTACTCGCTTATGATAATGATAAGGTCAAGCTAAACATCATACGGACTAAAATCAATTAATTTAATTGTATCAGTATACAGTCTGTGCAATGTCGGACACGTTACATTATTCCTTGTGCACTTGATGCTGCTCGAACGTGATTCGACTGAATTATTTATTTTATAGTCTAAACATGTACTAAACTAATCAAGCGCAATTGAACGAGATAGGTTTACTATTGTCTAATAAAATATTAATCTGTATAATATGCTAATCGCTAGAACAGCAGTTCACAAAAGAGATAAGCCACGCCCCCTAAACTCATGATAAAATGAGGCCTGTGCCCAGCAGTGGGACGTAGGTATATAGGCTGTAACTTAACTTTACTTTACACCTAGCTGAGAATTGGTGAGCGTAGTACTAGATGTCGTATTCTTTCTACATTCCTCTTCATTGCGCGTCGGGGTATTTATATGTAGTATTCAGTTCATTTTTGCCTTTATCTAATAGCCTAACACGACATGGTGTGCTGTTAAAAACTCTTACATCACTTATCATTTTACCACTTATTATTTCATTAATTAATATCTTCAACCGATAGGCAAGCTAGTTCTGTACACAGCAGGACTCGTAGTATTATATGTTGTAACTTTGTTTTACTATAGTTTGTTTCTTTGACATTATAATTTGTAGGAAAAAATCGGAAATTTTATAGTCAATAAAACGTTCGCAATTGATTAATGTAATAATTTTTTTTTGTACAGATGGCTGACGCTAATGGCAAGGTTAAAGAGGCTTTGGAGCAAGCGAAGAACAACGTGCAGCGCTCGGCTGATGAGTTGCGTCGCGCTCACCCTGACATCGAGAAGCAAGCGGCAGCCTTGAGTGAGAAAGTCCAGGCCGCTGTCCAGAACACAATCCAGGTTAGGCTTAGGCCAAGCAGTTCACTTGACTAAGTTACTCCTACTGATATAACAATATTTTGACATAAATATCTTTCAAATATACTGTGAATCATATCCATGTTATACAGCGGTCAGCTTGCTTTTGATGCACCGTGACGCGTTAGACAACACTGGAGAGTGCACAGACCCGCCGAACCGCCGATAGCATAGAGGCCGCCACACACATAACTCGCAGCGTTCAAAACAGCTCTTATTGTGTACTGTTTATGACTGAAATAAACTACAGCATGGACTACGTCACTAAATATCCTGGGTGGACTGGAAAACAATGGCGAGATATTTTTTTTACGCCCGAAGCAAATATGGGCAACCCTCCGGAAAGCGGGGGAGAGGGAGGTTGGGAATGCTCATAGCATACCACGCAGCCGGCTGCGTGGTTATGTGGTGACTTTAACCCACTAAACTCAACCTTTTAGGAATTGGCTTAACGATCTGACTAGAGATCTCTAAGCCGTATACGAACACGACCCTCCTTGGCAGAAAGGAGGGCGCAGGCTCTGGCGAGATATTAAGTCCGCCTTTTGTAAGACTATAAATAACGTGGAACATTGTTTTAATGAGTTAGAGCCGCGCTGCAGCTATATTATGTTTACAGCACGTATGGGTCGGCTCGACCAGGGAAAGACCACGATCTCACATAATACCAGCATAAAATAGCAGCTTAATGTTGATATATAGCTATATAGCTATGTATGTATATGTATGTATTGTATTGTATTGTATGGGGATGTAGAGAACCGGGTCTCCGGTTTTTTACTGGTAACGATACGTTCTATCTTAGTACTCAAGGTCAGGATGACAATATTTACATATTGATTCTTAATTGAGAATAGATGTAGACGCCTAAGAGATCCACAGCATCCACTGAGAATTAGGTGGACTCTGAGCTCGTGCGTCACCCTTATGCTATAAAAATGAAACAAATGATTCTACTTGATATGCTTTAAAGCCGAAATTTCTATAGTTTTTAAATATGCAAATATTTAAAAACTATAGTCTATAATCCTTTCGAAATCTAAGTTTTTTTTTAGTTTGGATAAACATTTTAGTGTTTATATACAAAAGTTAAAATTTAATGTAATTTTCATATCTTTGCTATTAAGTAAAATAAGAAAAAAAGCAAAAATAAATTAAGATAAAACAAGTTAGATCTAAAGAGGACGTACACATATATTTTCGAACGTTTCATACGACGTTGAAAAAAAATAAAACTTCTATCTGTATTATTTTTTTTTTGCATTGATTTTACATAAATTTTAACCACAGAAATCAATATGTGTCTTATTAATTATAAGGCACATATTATTTAGATTTCTGTGGTTTTAACTTTATAACTACAAAAGTATTTATTCTAGAGGATGCCAAAGAGTTAGAAAGGAGTTTGTAAGTCTACTAATTTCTCCAGCTCTTGGAAAGTCGATTTTAATCGATTGCTCACTTACTTATTCTAAATTATTTCATTGTTAACAGGAGACACAAAAACTGGCGAAGGAAGTAGCGTCGAACATTGAACAAACAAACGCGAAGCTCGCGCCAAAGATCAAGGCAGCTTACGACGACTTCGTGAAACAGGCTGAGCAGGTCCAGAAGAACGTACACGAAGCCGCCAATAAGCAATAGGAGCACAATCATGTCCATTATTCATTTAATTCGCGTTCATTTATATATTTTAACACAATAAATTACTATTTATAATCAATTTTCTTTTTTAATTTTACTGAATCCTGGTCAAATTATAAAACTTAATTATTTTTATTGTGTAGCTAATTTCAAAATATTTATACTTAAATAGCTTCCGCCCTGACTTCATGTGAGTCAAATCTATTAATGTGGCGTTATTTAGTTTTAAGATAATCATGCACACATCAAACTCAAAGCGAAGATGCAGTAGCCTAATGTCACTAAATCAAAAAATCGCGATCCACTCAACTTAAATCAGCAGAAGAGACTTCAATGAATACTTCTGACTATTTGGATTATTATTTAAAAAAGTTAATTGAAAATAATTTCACTTGGACGTCAGGTCGGTATGGATATGAACTAGATACCTTTCGAAAGTGATGTGATGACTTACGGATCTGAGACGTGGTCCTTCACTGCTGGCCGTATGAGGACGCTCAAGGTCGCTCAGCGTGCTATGGAGAATATGCTCGGAGTTTCTCTGCGTGATAGACTCAGAAATGAGGATATCCGATAAACCAGAGTGACCGACATAGCCCAACGGATTAGTAAGCTGAAGTGGCAATGGACCGGCCATATAGCTCGAAGAATCGACAACCATTGTGGGGAAAAACTTCTCGAGTGGCAGCCTCGTACCAGTAGGCGAAGTGTAGGGACGACCCCCCACTAGATGGAGTGACGACCTGTAAGACATGCAGGAAGTCCATGGATGCAGGTGGCTCAGGACCGCGCTTTGTGGCATACCTTAGGGGAGGCCTATGTTCAGCAGTGGACTTGTGAAGGTCTGTAATGGTGATGATGATGATGATTGAAAAAAGTAGTTTACAGCCTTTATACGTTCCATTCATGGGCGTAGGCATCAATTACTCCGCTGAGCTTGGCAGACGTAGAAAGTCTTTGAAAAAAAATTTTCCTGAGACATGTAAGTTGAATGATAATTTTATTGATGCCGTCGGATATGGCAACCGGGTTACTATATGTACTGCAATATTTACAGCAAGCCCCTGCAGCTACCATAGATTTTTACTTTTGCAAAACATGCCGGTAAGGACGGAATCTGGGTTGCTCGACCGATGACGATTGACTGAAACTTTTCTATGGCTTTTTAAGTTTTACAAAATTATTTAAAAATAACATAACAATAAGCGACAATAGCCTGATGGTGGGGTACGAACTGCAAACTAATAATAAGTGATAAGATTTATTTATTCACTCTGTTTACATGCAGAGTATCTTAAACTATTACAGTACTGGTTTCGGCAACATACTAGTAAGATATGGTTGATCGTTAGCAGCTGTACTAGTTTTTATGGTAAAAACTGTATTATAGACGCTAGCGCCTTCCACTGGACATTATAGGAAACAATTAGAGAAATGCCCTGTTTAGTACTACATAATATAGAAACCCCTACATGTGGAGACAATACTTAAGAGCAAGTATAAAAGTGAGGGATGGCGTAGAAGTTTGTTCAAACTCGTATGAGGCCCTATCTGTTTCCCACAGACGGTGACCCTCTTATCATTCCCCATCAATTCGGTTTCCGAGCGCAACACTCATGTCCCCAACAAGTTCACCGTATTCTGGAATATGTCCTCAGCGGTTTTTATCCTCGTCGTCATAAGACCATCGCGGTCTTTTTCGACATAGGTAAAGCCTTCGATAGAGTCTGGCACACAGGCCTTATCTACAAGCTGTACAAAATAGGACTCCCCGATCGGTCTAGTACGCCTCGTGGCCTCTTACTTAAAGCATCGTACCTTTCGTTTTAGACACGAAGGCACGCTATCTTCACAGCGCCCTATCAAAGCTGGTGTCCCTCAGGGCTCAGTACTTGCTCCTCTGCTGTACATCCAGTTCACCAACGACATTCCCATCCCGTCGAAAGCTGTTCTGCTCTCTCTCTTCGCAGACGACACTGCTATCTACTGCAAAGGTGTCTCGCTACCTTTCATACGGAACAAGGTTCAAAAGTCAGTTGACGACCTAGGAGCTTGGTTCAAAAAATGGCGCATCGATGTGAATCCGGAGAAGAGCTCCGCCGTTCACTTAGAATATAAACGAGGCCGTCTCAAAAACACTCCACCAATACGTATGCTAGGGACCCCTGTCCCCTGGCATACGTCCGCCAAATATTTAGGTGTCACTCTAGACACAAGGCTCACTTTCAGGCCCCACGTCAAAAGAGTAACCCGTCACGCACGTTTTTACCTGAGCAGGCTCAACAGCATGTTGGGCCGACACAGTAAAATGTCCCTTAGAAACAAGCGTACCCTTTATAAGGTCTGTATACGACGAGTCATGCCCTACGCGGGCGCCCCGTTTTTGCCCATCGCCAACCCTTTTCTGTCGTCGAGCTGCGAACGCACCTTGGTACGTCCGTAATGCCGACCTTCATCGGGACCTAGAGCTCCCCACAATTCAACAATTTCTCAAAAAACTCTCAGAGAACTTCTTCAAAGCCTCAGAGTCGCACTCCAACCATTTTATTCGTGAGGCAGCTACTTACGCAGCCCCACTCCCCTCTCGCTATCGAGTCCGCAGGCCGAGAAACTCTCACTCGGACCCGCCTAATAAACTATCAAACGACCTGAACTGCCTCCTGGCGGCTCAGGCGAACTCTAATTAAATTAAATTATTTATTCATAATTAATTTGCCTTCGTAGGCACTCCCCTCAGCGGCTCGTAGCCGCCTGCGCCCTCTTTTTGCCCAAAAGAGGGTCGCTCACGATACGGCACAATAAAGCTTAATCAGCCAGTTGCCAGTCCCCAAAGGCAGTTTTTAGAGGGTATCACTTAGGTTCCCCGGTAGGCAGTGAGTCCCTCATAACCACGATAGACCGGCTATCGTGGTATGCGTAATGCATTTTCCGCCTCCATACGTATAGGGTAGCCCTTTAATTGCTTCAGGCGCAAAAAAAAAGAAGTTTGTAAATGTGTGTGCGTTTAGATGTCATGGATGTGGTGTGTGTGTGTGTGTTTGAAGTTCTATGAATCGTGGTTTCGAATCCGCCATTTGAGTAACCACTGTGAATCACCCACACAAGCATTTTTAAACTTACATAAAGTGGTTGATAATACTTCCGGTATTGGAGTTAATAGCAGTACTACTATTTTTTTTATAAACACCATATTTTCAGATTAATTTAATACAACAATTAAGTTCACATAATATGAAAGCCTATTAAAGAAATATTATGTCAAGACACGTATCGTCATAGGTTTAAATATATAACTAACTTTATAATATTAAAATAACAGTTTATTGAGGGGGAGGGGGAGGGGGGTTGAAATTGAGTTACACATAAACGAAAAACAATGTAGCGGTAAAATTATTTATTGTAGATTAAATGGCAGAAATATAACAATGCTGTGTTTTATTATCCAATAGCACTTTTGTAGGTTGTACACTTTTGGCAGTATGTGACTCTTATTGGAGAACATTTGTGACCAATTCTGTAGATCTTTATATTGTCAACAATACATATTTGCAATGAAAATAAACATACTTAAACATACTATGCACGCACGATAAGATAAAGAATATTTATGTTAGTTAGCAGCATTTTTTTAAAGAATTCCAAAATGGCGGCTGCCAGTATTTTAAAGCAGATATGAAAAACACCGCCTAACTCATAAAGCTGACTGAATAAATACCATAAATTAAAGTCTAATAAAAAGTTCCATTGGTTTAAGGTAATTTATATGTATCCTAAACCAAGGTGAATATGTGTTAAATAACAACACGTAATTGCAATTAATTCTATATAAGATTGCAACTAAAAATTTATAAAAAGTGTTGTAATAGTTCTTTTTATAATCTTGTGTCTATAATTATTATATAGATGCTTCCATTCGGATGGTACAAATAGTACACATTTTTATTGATTTGCTTAATTATGGATACCAAGCATAGGTGAACATGTGTGAGATGGTTCTTAAATATGCAAATACTCAGAAATTAATCGTGTTTGTATATTAAGTTCTCAAACAATCTGAATCTACACTTCCGTGTTAAATTATATGAAAATTATCTTATATTATTGCCTGATTTGATGTTTATTTGAACGAATATCTTTGACGCGATATAAACAATGTTTAACACGAATATAATCTGAAACAATAAGTACTATCTTGTATAATATACCATATTTATTCAAAATATTATACGCACAATGAAAAAACCGTAAATATTTGTTATAATGCATTTAATAAGCGTGTGCCTAAAAGTAATATGACACTAAATAAAATAGTTACATCAAAAGAGCAGGGTCCAGTAACATTAGTGAACCAGCACAAATGGTTTAAGAGAAATTTGAAGCAATGATAAACATGTGTAGCTAAAATATACTGAACCCCTTACATAGGCAACGATGTTAGAACTGAAGAACACCTTAACGTCTGGTGACAGGTTGCCACTCATCGTCATTAGGGTCGCGGGCTGAAAAACGATATTGTATTATATAAGTATAAGAGAAACAGAAAAACAGAACAGTAGGACTAATAAGTTGCTTAGATAGACTAAGGGCGGGTTGCTTCACCTCCACTTAAATTTAAATACGTGGTAGATCCATGCCGCAGCTATATTATGATTGTGGCATGAACGGGTCGGCTCGACCGGGGAAGGACCACGCTCTCACAGAATACCAGCGTAAAATAGCAGCTTAATGCTGCTGTGTTTCGTATGGTGAGTGTAGGGATCTGGAGACAATTTTTTAATTTTTAATTTTCAGGGGTGACAACGCAACTGCGTTTTGAATCTTAATTGAGGATAAATGTAGATGTCTATGGACTACAGCATCCACATACCATCAAGAGGACTGTGTGCTCGTTTGTCACCCTTATTCTATTAAAAAAAAATACGCACACACATTAAAAATGGCACAACTAGAAACCTACATTAATAAATAAGTTACGATAAGGACTGGTTAACGTCATTTTATTCTCCAACAATTTAATGCAAATAAACGAATATTAACGATCATCATACATAATCATTACTTGAAGTACATATGTTACTTTAATCAACCATTTCAAACGACCTGATGTAAGTAAACGCGAACATTCGTGGCTCTGCAGCGTATATTTTTTATATACGTTGTATAGCCGCATGCAGCAGCTTTAGCAGAAATCCATCCATCGATCAATTACAGCCCATAAAAATCCACAGCTGAACATAGGCCTCCCCCATAGAGTAGCACAAGTGGATCAGCTCAACTAGGGAAGAACCACTCTCTTACATAATACTAGCGTAAAATAGCAGCTTAATGCTGCTGTATTTCGTATGGTGAGCGTAGAGATCTTTTTTACTGGAAACAAGGCATTCCATCTTAGTCCTCGGGGGTTGAGAAAACACCTGCATTTTGATTCTTAGCTGAGGAAAGGTTTAAAAAGCCACATAATCCACTTATCATATTTACTAAAATTATTTATCACTGTATCAATGTTATCCCTTCCAGTATTTACTTAATAGTATACATTAGATTTAAAAAAAAATTCCACTCTTAAATTAAATAACCGTTGGTTTAGAGACGAAATATCAGACATTATATTAAAGTAAAATAATTTAAATTAAATAAATAATCAAAAGATACTTTAATACTGTATTTTTTACTCTTTGTTGATAGCCCTTGGTAACCACGAAATATCGTCTGTGACGTGGGAAGGGGAAAAGATGCAAAGCCATATGGACACTCGCGCGCAGCAATTAGGTTTAATTTTGCTTGCGTGCATGATTTATCTAATTTATAATTATTATGTAGGCTATTAAAACGTCTGCAAGTGGTGAACATGAAAGGAGTGTTACTTCTATACATAGTACTATTATTTATTCTGTGATTACAGTGCATAAAAGTGTGGCCGCAAGCACAGATACATACTCCATTCCTTCACTCTCCGAGACATGGAGGTGAAATACCGAAAATTCCTGACTTCGACTGCTACCAAAAATTTCTGGATAGAAAACACCCAATAACTGACTTCGGCCCGACCCGGGGATTAGAACCCGGGCTCTCATGATCTGCAATTACGATCACTAGACCACTTATGCTCTAATTAGTGTTTTGCCAGGTCCGAGAAATGGGAACGGACAGAACATTAGAAACAGGAACACAATATTTTTATAGAGCTTTGTTAATTCTACTCACGTTTTTCCTCGCGACGTGGCGGCGGCGGGCGACGTTCGCGGTCGTCTCTACGTGGCCCGTCCCTTTGCAAACAAACCATAATATATATAAGATAAAAGAAAAAGTTACAGCCTACGTAAATTACAAAGCAGGGGTGGCCTTCTCTCATTTCGATAGGGTTAAATGAAGCTATAATATTTACTCACATATTATTTTAAACTTTATATAACTATATTTTAAATTATTATTTTTATTTTAATAATATAGACATTGAAGTGTAATTTTGTATTGTTCAAAATAAAGCAACAGTTGAAAGATTCAAGATAGTACACACAGTAAAACTACAAAAGATTTTTTGAAGGCTTACCGATCATCCCTTCTCGGACCATCTCTATCGTCTCTTCGTGGCGGGTAGCGGTCACGATCACGGTCATCGCGCCGGTCTCTAAAATCACGATCGCGTGGCCCGTCACGATCTCGTGGCCCATCGCGATCCCTAGGGCCGTCGCGGTCGCGTGGCCCATCGCGATCTCGAGGCCCGTCACGATCTCTAGGGCCGTCACGGTCTCGGGGACCATCGCGGTCTCGAGGACCATCACGATCTCGAGGAATTTCACGATCACGAGGGCCGTCACGGTAACGATCATCTCGCGGTGGCGCGTCTTTAGACCGCCAAGTGCCAGAACGTTCCTATAACAAAATATTTTCATCTCTTACACTTCTCATATAGATCTTTATAGAAATTGTCATGTAAGCTTATTAAATGTATATCATTCACATTAATAACAGTTTGCTGCCGATGCCCAGTTGTCAGGTTCGAAACAGATTATTGCTGTCCACCATAATAATAATAAACTATAATGTATACATTACTATTATTATTTACTAGATGTAAAATATCTAGAGGAGCAACAAAGAGAAACATAAAAGTTTCACAACTGGCACTGCAATAGTCAACAAACCCAACAAGCAAAAAGATTATCCTCCATATTGTGAGAAAGGCTCATGATAAGCGATGAAATGCTACAAGTTGATAAAGATTACAGTAAGGAATATGAACTTCTAAATCTAAAACCAATTCCAAATCTAGACTTTTATAGGGAACCGGCAAAAATCTCCAATGGTCCTTTTTGTTAAGTTTCAAATTACAGCTTTAAAAAAAATCTTTTTTACTTTTATACAGGCCTCAAGCAGAACCGACATCTGATTATCTGATGGGGAAGAAACGTTCAGGAATGCAGCTTCACACCGGTAAGCGAAGTATAGGTTGTACTACCACTCGTCCCGCCGATGGAGTGACGACCTTTACCAGGTCTATCTTTTTCTGATGCAAGTGGCTCAGGACCGTGTTTTGTGACAGCCCTTGAAGGATGCCGATATTCAACAGTGGACTTATGAAGGACTATAATGGTAATACAATTATGAATTCAAGGGTAAGTCTACTAACTGCGGGTGCTGGTGGTGGGTCGGCAGGTCCTCGTCGCCAGCTGCCTGTCTCAGGACCGCTGGAACGGCCGCCGTAAGCTGGTCGAGGCCTGTAAAAACATGTTAAAAAGTTTAGCACAAAATCTAAAAAAAATCATTAAAATAAACGACTAGCATAAAACTACTGAGCCGTGGTAGCTCAGACGGTTAAGGCTTCTACATTGCTCAAATCGTGAAAAACGCCCAGGTTTACAAAAAGTTATAGCCGAATCCTTTTGTTTATTTGCTACAAAAAAAAATATGTTTTATAGTTTAGATCGTCACAGTTCATTTGTATTGTTTCAAATTTAAGAATATTTGACCATTATTACAATAAAAAATCAAATACAAAGGCTATTTTAAATCTATTTTGTATTTTTTCTCAAGAACGGCTCAACAGTTTAAGATTAAATTTTATATTAAAATATTTGTTAAATCATAATAAAAAAAATGTATTGTTTTATTGTATTTTTGTTAAATATATTTCTTAAAATATAGTAAAACATAATTTGGACCCTTTTCGCCACCCGAAGCTCCCCCGCTATGGCCCGTTACGGATATTCCCAGTTACTCTTCACGGGTGGACTGTGCGCGCGTTATTTTTTAAAAAAAATATTAAAAAGTTCGCAATATTTCAAATTTATAAAAACAGATTTATTGTAAATAAAACGTACATAAGTAATATATGATAAAAAATTAGGAATTAAGTTGATTTATGTTAGTAAAATTGTTTTTAGTTTTAGTTTTGTATATAATCGTATCATAGAATAGACTAAGCTTGACAATGCCGAAATACAAAAGCAAGTCAAAAGTGAAGCGTGGCCAAGCTCTTCAAAACTATTGGTAAGTAAATTATCCTTGATATATTTTCTTTTGCGTAAATACAGGGTACGGCAGCGTTCCGAAAACTGTCGTGTTCCCTTCTATTGTATAGGTGCGGAATTTCTTTAGCCATAAATAAGCTTGGTACTACAAAAACGCCCAGTGAAAAAGTGTAAAATAATATGAAAGTGACCATTTTTGGCTGGTCTGATGCTACAGTCCTGAACTCAGTCTCAAGGTGGGTTAAGGATCTCAGTGACGGAACCACGTAGAACCATTGTGTTTGTACTCATTTGAAAGGGCTCGCAGCTAACTAGCTGGCCGTGATGATTTCACTTACCTGGTGCTGCACTCCGAAGTAGTCCGAAGGTGGGTACAGGATCTCAGTGACGGAACCACGTAGTACCATTGTTTTCGTACTCATTTTAAAGGGCTCGTAGCTACCTAGCTGGCTGTGATATTTTCATTTACCTGATGCTGCACTCCGAAGTAGTCCGAAGGTGGGTACGGGATCTCAGTGACGGAACCTCGTAGAACCATTGTGTTTATACTCATTTTAAAGGGCTCGCAGTTAACTAGCTGTCTGTGATAATTTCATTTACCTGATGCTGCACTCCGAAGTAGTCCGAAGGTGGGTACGGGATCTCAGTGACGGACCCGCGTAGAACCATCGTGTTTGTACTCATTTTAAAGGGCTCGCAGTAGTAACTAGCTGTCTGTGATAATTTCATTTACCTGATGCTGCACTCCGAAGTAGTCCGAAGGTGGCTACAGGATCTCAGTGACTGAACCACGTAGTACCATCGTTTTTGTGCTCATTTTAAAGGGCTCGCAGCTAACTAGCTGGCCGTGATGATTTTATTTACCTGATGCTGCACTACGAAGTAGTTCTAAGGTGGGTACTGGATCTCAGTGACGGAACCGCGTAGAACCATCGTGTTTGTACTCATTTTAAAGGGCTCGCAGTTAACTAGCTGTCTGTGATAATTTGATTTACCTGATGCTGCACTCCGAAGTAGTCCGAAGGTGGGTACAGGATCTCAGTGACGGAACCGCGTAGTACCATCGTTTTTGTGCTCATTTTAAAGGGCTCGCAGCTAGCTACCTAGCTGGCTGTGATTATTTGACTTACCTGATGCTGCACTCCGAAGTAGTTCGAAGGTGGGTACAGGATCTCAGTGACGGAACCACGTAGTACCATCGTTTTTGTGCTCATTTAAAAGGGCTTGCAGCTACCTAGCTGTCTGTGATTATTTCACTTACCGGATGCTGCACTCCGAAGTAGTCCGAAGGTGAATACAGGATCTCTGTGACGGAACCACGTAGAACCATCGTGTTTGTGCTCATTTTAAAGGGCTCGCAGCTAACTAGCTGGCCGTGATGATTTCATTTACCTGATGCTGCACTACGAAGTAGTCCGAAGGTGGGTACGGGATCTCAGTGACGGAACCGCGTAGAACCATCGTGTTTGTACTCATTTTAAAGGGCTCGCAGTTAACTAGCTGTCTGTGATAATTTCATTTACCTGATGCTGCACTGCGAAGTAGTCCGAAGGTGGGTACAGGATCTCAGTGACGGAACCGCGTAGAACCATCGTGTTTGTACTCATTTTAAAGGGCTCGCAGTTAACTAGCTGTCTGTGATAATTTCATTTACCTGATGCTGCACTCCAAAGTAGTCCGAAGGTGGCTACAGGATCTCAGTGACTCAACCACGTAGTACCATCGTTTTTGTGCTCATTTTAAAGGGCTCGCAGCTAACTAGCTGGCCGTGATGATTTCATTTACCTGATGCTGCACTCCAAAGTAGTCCAAAGGTGGGTACAGGATCTCAGTGACGGAACCACGTAGTACCATCGTTTTTGTACTCATTTTAAAGGGCATTTGAAAGAGCTCACACTTAGCTGTCTGTGATAATTTTACTTACCTTTTGTGAAAATGCTTTTATTGTACTCTTTTGTTGAGAGTGACTGTTGCGATAATATTTTTAATGTAACTTTATGTTTTTAGGCAATTGAGAAATCAGCGGAAATTCCATTCAGAAAATCTGGGCAAAGATCCGTCAACTGAATCTAATGCATTACATTCATCTACGACTATTGCAAAAACTCACGTTCCGTTCGGTGTTGCAGTTGATGAGGAGATTCCGTTGCCAGATATTACGGTAGCTATTTTTTACAATTAAGAGTGCCAGTCTATTTTTAATGTTGTTAAATTGAACTTTGACTCCGGGTCCCCATTGCGCATTAATAACCATTCGTTTTTGGTAAATAAATACGTACTGAGGAAACCGACAAGTCTGAGAACTCATAAAATTCGAGAAATCCTATCCTATATGGTCAGTAAAAATAAGCAAGATATTATTTAACAAGATAATATATGAGACGGAATTTTTTTGTATATGAATTTAGCAATGTATTACATGATAATTATTTTGTTCTCAGCAACAACAAGATAACATTTTACCGGAATTAATTATTGAAAAGGATCAACCAGAAACAGGAAAAAGAAATATATCTGGCAGACGAATTGTTGATATAAAATACTTTTTTTCAAAATTACAAGAAATCAGCAATCATAGCCCATATAACTGTGGAGTACAAAGTTTAAAAATTGTTGGAGAGAAACGAGTTGGACTGTCATCCAAGTTTACTCTAGAATGTTTAATGTGTAAAGGAAAGTTTTTATTAAATAATATCCCAGGTGATCTGAAAAAAAATACAGAATCAGTCGCTGGTGCATCGACGTGTAAAGAAAAGTATATTGTCTCCAGTGATCTGGACATAAATACAGCTGTGGTTGCCGGTGCAGTTTCTGTTGGTATTGGCTACTCACAATTAGATGAATTACTATCAGCAATCGATTTACCTATGATGACTGAGCCTCTGTACCAAAAACAGCATGAGTTTGTTTCTAACGCCTGGGAAAAAGCACTTGGTCAATCCATGCAAGAAGCCGCAGAAGAAGAAAAAAGGATTGCTTTAGAAAAAGGTCGTGTAACCACTGGTGGCATACCTATTATAGATGTTATTGCTGATGGATGCTGGAGTAAGAGATCATATAAAAAGAATTACTCAGCACTTTCAGGAGCTGCTGCCATAATCGGAAGAGAAACGAAAAAAATTTTGTTCCTCGGTGTTAAAAATAAGTACTGCAGCATATGTGCGCAAGATTGTAACAAAAATCAAACTCCGAGAGCTCATCAATGTTACAAAAATTTCACGGGTGCATCTACTGCCATGGAATCTACCCTGATAGTAGAAGGTTTTAAATCATCTGTTGAAATGTACGGTCTGATTTATGGACGTCTAATATCTGACGGAGATTCCAGCACGTACTCTAAAATATTAGAAGCAAGACCCTACCCTCAATTTACAGTTGAAAAAGTAGAGTGCAGAAATCACCTTTTAAGAAACTTGTGTAACAAACTGGAAAACTTGATCACAGATACAAAATATCCCATACATCTTAGAAAATTAATTACAAAAAAACGCATAATGACCATTAGGTCCACAATTAGAAAATGCATCAAAAAATACCATGATTCTACAGAGACTTTAGATTTTTGCACTCACAAACTTTTTGAGGACATTCAAACTGTACATTTACATGCCTTCGGAAACCAGACCAACTGTAAAATCCATTTCTGTAATCGTCGTCAAACTGAAACTGAATCTGTACCAGCGGATTTTTTCACAAGTTCTTTATGGCAGAGAATATGTTTTACTATAAATAGTATTGCTGGCCATTCAAGAAGTCTTGTTCATGATGTTGAAAGTAACATCGTAGAATGTTTTCACAGCATTGTGGCCAAGTTAGTTGGGGGTAAAAAGAGTAAATTACTCTCTGCGAAGCGGCTATCAAGCTAGATGTTCAGCTTCTGCGGTTACGTTCAATACTAAAAGAAAACCTACTACAATATTGTACAAAACGATTGTTGGCAAAAGCCCTAAAGGCCGAATGAGCACTTTCGATAATAAGTATCGGAAACTCAGAGGCTTGAAGAAACGCGCCAATTATAAAAAGCCGCAGAAGACGTGTGACGCTATAACTCAAAATAAAGATTATGGTGAACAAAGCTCTAAACCGGATATGGGTAAAGATGTTCTTAATTTAATGAAGGAAACTTTTTTATCCAATTTAAAAAAAAGTAAAGAAGAAAGAACATGGATTGAGCGGCAGACCATTTTGCAAAGCGAGTCTAGCGAATGGCTTGAACTTAGACGTTCTTTGCTGACAGCTTCGAACTTTGGCAAAGTGATCAAAATGAGGCCGGATACTAGTTGTGCCAATATAGTAAAGCAATTGCTGTACAAAATTAATATAGATGCCGTTCCTTTGCAGCACGGAAGAGAATATGAAAAAAAGCGCTACAACAATTATCTATGCAAGAAGCAGTGGATATAAGACCTTGTGGGCTTTATATAGATAACGAAATTCCGTATTTGGGGGCTACACCAGATGGTATTATAGACGAAGAAACAATAGTGGAGGTTAAGTGTCCAATAACGGCATTTAAGACAGGACTAGAGGAAGCTATTACAAAAAAAAAAGTAAATTTTTGGATTAAAGACAAATCAGGTAATTTAGTGATAAATAAAAATCACAACTGGTTCTACCAGGTACAAGGGCAGTTGCACGTGACTCGCAAAGCAAAATGTGTATTTGCTGTATGGTTCAGTGAGTCGCAACCACTGAAAACGGAAGTTATTTACAGGGATGATGATTTTTTTGAAAACAAAATGAAGTCAAAATTATGCAATTTTTATTTAAATTGTATATTGCCTGAAATTTTAGACCCAAGACATACTAGAAATATGGAAATTCGTAATCCAATCTATATAATAGAATCTATAAAAAAAAAGAAGAGAAAAAAAAACTCAAGAAGAAAATCCAAAGCATAATTCCAATTGCTGAGCAGGAAGAAAATACAACGCTTTCGTTATATCAAGAATCGACACGTTCGTCAACACCAGTAATTCCAGAAGCGGAGCAACCAACCTGTTCACGATACTTAGATTATAATGAATTTTAACTTGCACAAAATATTCAACGGTTGATTTAATCTTGACTTAAATCTGTCAAGATTAAATCAACCGTTGCGTGCTTTTTTTAAGTATTTTTTAACATAAAATAATTTAAAAAAGCACGCAAAGTTTGTTTCCTCTTTTACTTAACTTAGCACTTACATATATGAGCCAGATCATCACTAGACCTTCAGAGTATTTATCTTAGCAACATAAATAAATAAATAAATATCATTTTATTGCCACTTTTTAAAAAAACATATGAACTAATTATTTAATCTTAATTTAATTTAGGCAAACGGAGGTGACTCAGCTTTTGCTTACATGGATCATGGTCATCCACATACCTTCACAAAGTGTCACGTAGCAGCGTCCGTGCTGAATATGAGAGTTTCCGAAAACTAAATATTCCTAACAATTTCCATTGCTGAGAACCACTTGCTACTTACCTGGTCATCCACAAACCTTCACAAAGTATCATGTATCAGCGTCTTGGCTGAATATGAAAGTTACTGAAAACTAAATCTTCCTAACCATTTCCATTGCTGAGAACCACTTAGTACTTACCTGGTCATCCACATACCTTCACAAAGTGTCACGTAGCAGCGTCCGTGCTGAATATGAGAATTTCCGAAAACTAAATATTCCCAACAATTTCCATTGCTGAGAACCACTTGCTACTTACCTGGTCATCCACAAACCTTCACAAAGTATCATGTATCAGCGTCTTGGCTGAATATGAAAGTTACTGAAAACTAAATCTTCCTAACCATTTCCATTGCTGAGAACCACTTAGTACTTACCTGGTCATCCACATACCTTCACAAAGTGTCACATAGCAGCGTCCGTGCTGAATATGAGAGTTTCCGAAAACTAAATATTCCTAACAATTTCCATTGCTGAGAACCACTTGCTACTTACCTGGTCATCCACAAACCTTCACAAAGTATCATGTATCAGCGTCTTGGCTGAATATGAAAGTTACTGAAAACTAAATCTTCCTAACCATTTCCATTGCTGAGAACCACTTAGTACTTACCTGGTCATCCACATACCTTCACAAAGTGTCACGTAGCAGCGTCCGTGCTGAATATGAGAGTTTCCGAAAACTAAATATTCCTAACAATTTCCATTGCTGAGAACCACTTGCTACTTACCTGGTCATCCACAAACCTTCACAAAGTATCATGTATCAGCGTCTTGGCTGAATATGAAAGTTTATGAAAACTAAATCTTCCTAACCATTTCCATTGCTGAGAACCACTTAGTACTTACCTGGTCATCCACATACCTTCACAAAGTGTCACGTAGCAGCATCCATGCAGATTATGAGAGTTTCTGAAAACTAAATATTCCTAACCATTCCCATTGCTAAAAACCACTTGGTACTTACCTGGTCATCCACATACCTTCACAAATTGTCACGTAGGAACGTCCGTGCTGAACATGGGAGTGAATACAGATACAAGGTTTAAAGTGAATAATACGTCAATTCACCACTAGGTCTCTCAGAGATCGAAAAAAATTATGCAAATAAGTTGTCATATTATCTATACATCGTTAATCTTTGTCTACTATTTACGTAGTGCCATTGCAGTACGTCTGCTTTTGGTAGATGTCGCTAAATTTAAACAAAGTCTAAATCGTCGATGTTACTGATCATTGTAGGAGCCTTAATGCTTGCTGTAAATATAACAGAACGCGAGTAACCAGGGTTCGATTCCCGCCGACACCTATGAAATTGTTAATTGCAACTTTAAGTGCTGATTTACCACGTGCTCGGCGGTGAAGGAAAACACCGTGAGGAAACTTGCATGTCTGAGGAATAAGAAAAACATTCGAACATTCGAAGACATGTGAAGTTCACCAACATGCAATGGGGCAGCGGGGCGGAACTTCCTTACGCTAAAACACTCTCAGAAATGAGGGGAGGCCTATGCCCAGCAGTGGGACATATATAGGCTGTAACTTTACTTTTTAACTTTATAAAACTACACACTATTTTTTCTGCGGTCAGAAAAACCTCTTTGGATATAGCTTCTTACGCCAAAAAATAAAAATAAAAATAAATCATAAAAATAAACGACTAGCATAAAACTACAAACCATTTTTTCTGGGGTCAGAAAAACCTCTTTGGATATAGCTTCTTACGCCAAAAATATTAGGTATCTTTAATTTTAAACAGCATCTTTTACTAATTGGTATTGAACAGAAATTATTGATATCTATTTGTATTTATATTGAACAAAATGAATATAGTTACAATATCAGTTGCATTTCCTCATACCAAAATTTCATAAAACTTTATGTAAAACTATCTTGCTGTTTCAACATTAGTGAGGTTTATAATAATATTTCTTGCATTATATGCTACACAACTGAGCCCGACTTCTCCCATTTAAAAGCACATTGGTATCCAAATGTTTGTGAATTTTTATACATTTTGTCTTGTTGTTGTTTAAAACCTAATTGTTAGTGTATTTCGATATGGCATTACTCACATCGTCAATATCTTAATATATATAAATTACGTGTCACGTTGTTTGTCCGCGATGGACTCCTAAACTACTTAGCCGATTTTAATAAAATGTTCACACCGTGTGCAGTTTGGTCCAACTTGAGAGATAGGATAATTTATTGCCCATGAGTGACCCACAATATTTTTTGCGAATTTAAGGATTTTTAATAGGACATGACAAAGGGTCGTCGGAAAGGGCAGAACAACGTCTGCCTGGCAAGCTAGTTTAAGATAAATGTAGATTTAATGATTTAAACTGATAATATGATGCATAAAATCAATGGATGAAGCTGCTATTTTTTGTAATTTATTTTCTCGGCGTCGGATTAAGGACTATTGTAATTTTATAAGACTGGCCTTTAGATCTTACGATTGATTTTCTCCTGACTATTTAGAATTAAATAAAATCTTTACTTTTTGGCGTATAAAAAAACCACAACGTATCAAAATGAAGTTCTTCTTACTGGAGAAGAAATGGAGATATTTTTATAGGCGAACCAATTTAGATTAGAATGTTATACCTGTCATCCCTCGAAGGCAAGCGGTCATCCTTTGGCGGGGGGCCTCTCTCATCACGCAGGGGACGTCGCTCGGGAGACCGAGGTGGAGGGCGTACTGCAAATATACATATAAATATTAAAGACTTGATCACCATTAGTCTGGTGATAGAAAAGCATCACAAAAACATCCTATTTAAGTCTACATCTGATATAGGCTACTCAAGACTCCTTCTATTCAGACCATTACCGTTAACCAATGAGTGAGCTGAAGTGGCAATGGGCCGACCATATAGCTGACAACCGGAAAGAAAGGTTCTCGAGTGGCAGCCTCATGCCGGTAAGCGAAATGTAGTGCGGCTCCCCACTAGATGGAGTGGCGACCTGGTAAAATACAAGAAGTCGATGGGTGCAGTTGGCTCAGGACCGTGCTTTGTGACATTCCTTGGGGAAGCCCTATGTTCAGCAGTAGACTTGTGAAGGGCTGTGATGATGATGATGATGCTGTTAAAACCAGCTCTGTAATCATGAATGCATAAACAGAAACAGAAACTATTTTATTCAATGTAGATTATATAGAATACTTATTGAAAGTCAATTTTTTCATTTACCACTGGTTCGCAAAAAAAACCTCTGTCCTGTGAAGAACCAGCAAGAAACCCAGCAGGACTATTTTTTTTTTCAAATAATAGCTTACAATCATGTTTACAATTAACAACACAAGACAAATTAGAAATAGCTTGGTAGCGATCACCATTCCCAGGGGTTGTTTAACAAAATTTTTGAACTTTGCGTATGACAAATTTTGTATATTTTCTGAGATTTTGTTGTAAAAGCGTATACATCGCCCCAAGAATGAATTACTGACCTGGTACTACTAGTTTGTGTCTGTTCCTAGTATTTACAGAATGAATATCACTTATTTTTGCAAAACTATGTTTATTCTTGTGTACATACATATATATACATTACATTTTCATAAATGTATTGAGAGGCCAGAGTTAATATATTAAATTCCTTAAATTTTTGTCTTAGTGACTTTGCTCTAATGGCCCTCTTCTGTAATATAAATATAATTTCAGTGTCAGTTGCGTGTCCCCACAGCAAAGTACCATACGACATAATGCTATGGAAATAACTAAAGTAAACTATTCTAGCTGTTTCAACACTGGTAAGAGTTCTAATTTTTTTACAGCATATGCTGCAGAACTAAGTCTGCTAGCTAGTTTTATGATATATGGGAGAGCGATTGAAGCTTTGCGTCTAGTGTGATTCCAAGAAAAATGGTGGTATCAAGAAGACTCAGTTCTTCCCCATTTAAAATTACATTCTTATTAACATGTTTGAGTTACGAATTTCATACATTTAGTTTTAGCTCCATTTAAATGCAAATTATTAACATTAAACCAATTGATTAGCTTAGCATTATTTACTTCGCCATAATTTAATAACTTTTGAAAGTTTTCTCTAAACTGATTTTAAACAGAATAACAGGGATAATGGACGAAGAGCAACCTATAGAACAAGCTGATTTCAGAGCGGGGTTTTCAACAACAGACCATATGCATCTCATTAAACAACTAATAGAAAAATGCCAAGAATACGGTAAAGCCTTGTACATCGCATTTGTGGATTATAATAAGGCATTTGATTCCATTAAACATGATTCACTTTGTAGGGCACTAACTCAGCAAGGAGTGCCAAAAAAATATATACGTATAATTAAAAATATATACGCGAATAGCAAAGCGCAAATAAAACTGGAAAGAGCTGGCGAAGAGTTCCCAATTGCTAGAGGGGTGAGGCAAGAAGATCCACTGAAAAGGAACACAGGTTCGCGAGTCCTCTCAATCCGGCCGCGAAGGACCAATTGAAAAGGAACTCAGGTCGGACGTCCCTCTTGATCCTGAAAAGGACCAATTGAAAAGGACCTAGCGGATCGGGTACTAAGAAACAGGAATCGAGGCTTCTCTCGATCCGGCCTCCTATCACGCCTACGTTGGGTTCGGGAACAACGTATGTGATCTCCGCAACGGAGTAACACACTAGGGCGATAACCTCTTCCTTTTCAGCAAGTAGGTTCAGACGGGGATTACGGGTCTTCCGAAGTCGTCCCGGTCCCGACGCCTTAATTCTTCGATGTGGACTGTATAATTTTGAGGGATGAATTTCTTGGGAATAAAACAGCAATTATCTTCAAACCGTTCCGTGAGAGAGTAATCACTTTTCCCTATCACTTCCCTACACTTTTTCTTTCTTGACTGCTGGTTTTGCACTTTTCCCGAAGGATTTTCGTACTTTCCCGAAGGATTCCCGAACATTTCCCGAACTTTCTTAAACCATTCCCGAACGAATTGCAATAAAACCCGTTCACTAAGCTACCCCAGAGCTATACGCGAAAGTGAGCCGCGCCATCTGCGCGCTTGCGCAACTTAATTACATGAATTTGTACTATTACTCTCTCACGTTTCACTCAATATCTTTATTTATTCAAATCATATACAAATACAATTTATCAATATAGGTAGTACAAAACAATATCTACACCATGATATACATCATATCCTCATATCATAAAAAACCTTTTATTTATTAAACGAAAACTGCCTATTTTACTCACAAGTTCGAAATCGAAATTTCTTAAATATTTAACACAGAAAGTTAAAACAATATTTCTCACTTGAATTTATACATAAGCTATCCAATACAATAGTTTAATTTACATTTTTTCTATTTATTTCACTATTTAAAACACTTTTAAATTTCTTATACAAAACTATCATTATTTCACTTATACACAGGAATTTTCACATGAAAATAACACAGAATTTACCTTTTTTGCACGTACAATTAACCTGAAATATTTTACAAGTAATTTTTACATAAATCACTGAATTACAAACATTTTAAATTTTTACATATTCGGCCTCCTAAGGGCGTGGCTTAGCGTGCTTCTATGAACTCACACTATTTGAACAACTAACTTTTGCACGGCTCTCGGCTATCAGAAAAAATGAAATTATGAAATTCACCAATTTTGACCATATTAGGCAAATTAAATGCTTTTATACAATTTTCGAACTGTATGAAACTATCTTTAATCAGATAACAATATAAATGAATGTTCTCATTAATCAATCATAACAAATAGGCATTTGTTTTCGTACAAAACGTATCAAACTTATACAAAACGACATTTATGCAATTAATATCCATTAATTCTGCCTATGCACAGAGTGATTATCTCGACCGGGGAACAAATCCGATCTTTAACTTCACTTTAATATTCTTATGAATTTACATCATTTGAAAGATGATTTCAACCGGGGAACAAATCCGGTAACATAATTTATATCTTAAATTCCTTACGAATTTATTAAGCGATATTACTTAGGAAAACAAACAAACTAGTCCGGCCTGGGAGTCGAACCCAAGACCTTCATATCATTAATTCGACATTTCTTAAAGATTTAACTAAGCATTCTCTTATCAGAGCGTCGTTGCTCGTGACTGCCCCTTTTTTCATAGCAACGTCATCGGTTGATTTAATAAACTGAAATATTTTTATAGGCGCGTCGCCAACAATCTCCCCCCCCGTGCGTTAGCACCATCATTTGGGAGGCGTCGCGGGTACCAGGACTATTATTCTGGATGTAGGTCTCCTCAAGATACCTGTGCTAGTAATGACGTCAACCACTCTGGTGTGACCGTCTGGTCCCGGTAACGTTCTACTAATTTTACCTTTTGGCCACGTATTTCGTGGCAACGAATGATCTATTATCAAAACAATATCGCCTTCTTTAGGTTCCATGAACTTGCCGTTATCACCTGTTCGAGGTATTAACGTAGGCATGTATTCTTTCAGCCATCTTGTCCAAAAATGGTCGGCTAACCTCTGTGCAGCTTTCCAATTGAGTTGACCCGTCAGATGTCGCTCTAAAAATAATCCAGGTGGTCGATCACCACATGAGCGTCCCAGAAGAAAATGATTGGGTGTCAAACCCTCTTCAGGACTATCCATACTGAATGTTACCAGAGGTCTGGAATTTACCGTATGCTCTGCTTCTAAAAGTAACGTATGTAGAACCTCCTCTCGTGGGCTCTTCTCCTTAAGCGTAGCGGTCAACGCAATTTTAATCGATCTTACTAACCTCTCCCAGGCGCCACCCATGTGCGGTGCTCCCGGAGGTATAAATTTCCATTTAATATATTTCTTAAATGACTCGTTTTTCATGCCCTCATAGCATTCTTCGCATGCTTTCAATAATTCTTTATTTGCAGCTTTGAAATTTGTCCCGTTATCGCTGTATATAACGGCTGGTTTTCCTCTTCTGGCGATAAATCGCCTTAACGCCATTACCATTGACGCTGGTGTCAATGAGGCTGCTAATTCCAGATGTACTGCTCTGGTGGTCAGACACGTGAATAAAACGCCCCAACGTTTTTCGTGTCGCCTTCCTATAGTCACACTCATAGGACCAAAATAATCTACAGCTGAGCATGTAAAAGGTGGCTCATGATGAGCTATTCTTTCCAGAGGAATATTTCCTTGTGGCACGTTTTGCGGCTTTGACCTGTATGTCCTGCACCACTGACAATGGTGTGACACACTTCGTACTACATTACGCAAGTTCAAGACGTAAAATTTCTGGTTCACCTCATTCATCACCGTCTGGTGATTGGCGTGTCCAAAATGATGATGAACTTCTCTAATCATCATTTTAACGATTTCGTGTTTACCGTCTAATATGACAGGTTTTCTACTTTCCTCGGTCAAATTAGACTTGAAAGGTAAACGTCCATTTAAACGGAGTAAGTTATCCTCTCCTATTTCCATAGATAATTTACTTAAGCGTGAACTTCTTTCAACGCTTTTGCCTGCTTTCAAACATTTTATTTCCGAATGAAAACACTCGTCTTGAATGAATTTCCAAATTAATATTTCCGCCTTTTTCAAGAGCGCTGTGTCCAACGCGCTATCGGGTCCTTTGACCGACTTTGCTAAAACTTTGTTGGAACACATAACCGACTTTTCGGTTGCGTCGTCGGGTCCTTTAACCGACTTTCTTAAACTCTTGAATTTTTCTACCGCTTGTAAGGTGCGTGTAGTTGCTCCAA